ACATATACTATTTTACTATTTTAGATCTTTCGCTTGATTTGTGAATGGGAGTAATGAAACTTCTTTTCCAAACACAAGAAAATGAACCTTCATTAAGAGACTTTTTAAATAAATAATAAAATATCGGAGTAAAATTAGTTTTGCAATTTTTCAAAAATGACAAAGGTGTTCCATCAGATCCAGGTCCTACTTTACCATCCAACTGTTCAATGGCTTTAAAAACTTCCATCTGAGTTATATCTAATCAGGATATATTAATATCTGAATATGTGTACGTATCATCGATTTCAACACTGAAGTTAAGATTATCAGGTTCAGACGTATACAGATCAAAATAAGTTGCAAAACATGTACATGTTCTTTGACCATTTTCGCGAGAGAATTATTAAAAAACATAACATTCGGTTAAATCCACTAATCCTTACTAACGAGATTGTAAAACTTCCAAAATGCTTTCTTATCATAACCACTGTTATTCAATTTAGAATATAAATTCACAGTCAATCAGCTGATTTTAGTTTTACATTTCCTTCTGGTTTTTACGTTCATTCCTTTTCATTTTGAATTTTCATAGTTTGCTAATATTTTCTTTTCTTTCTAATATCTTGTGTGATTAGTCAGCAAATGTTTTCGGACATATAAAACTTCCCTACATTCTTCAACCGTCTTTTTCTTTGTTCTCTTTGTTTCTGATTCATAGATACATCTCTTCTTTGAATGTTTCTATATTATTCAAAGGTCTGCTCTAAGAAATTCAGTTCATCACTAGAATCTTTCCCAGTGCTCTTCCTTTCCTGTGTTTCTACTGTAAGTTGTGCCAATTACCAGGTGACCACTCTGCCCAATACTTGGTCTCAGATAAGGAGGCTGATAATATCTTCTTCATTCTACCAGCAGTAGATCTAGAATCGAAAGGAGTTTGGTTCCTTCTGTACTTGTGGGTTCATTGACTTTGTTTGTCTTAGTTAATTCAATACAATGTTGAAGAAACTTTCCGGTTCTACTTCTGTTTTGGAGTGGCTCCATTTTTAGACCAATGTATGGAAGGGAAATTGAAATCCCCAATGAGTATAGTTGTTTGCTTATTTGCATATTTTATTCAATTGTTCAAAAAGTTAAGTCTTTTTAGCTTCTCTGCTCTGTTTGATGGTGTCTTATTTATTCTCGATGATAAATTGTGCTCTACCTATTCTCAGTTTAAGCCATAGTGTTTCTATATCGAAGGTTTTCTATTCACGATTCCCTCTACTCTTACAAAATAGTTTATCCATATTCTGTCTTGATATATCAATACTCGCCTCTCGTTTTATCAGATTCTTCCTTGCGGTAATGGAAAAAACTCTGGATAGTACCCATTTCATCTGAAATCTGTTGAATTTACCTATTCAGAATTATATAGAGTCGATTTGTGATACGATTTTGTGACGATGTCAGTTTGGTGGTAATTAGACAGGTTTAAGTTAGTTAATAATCGTGTGTGCTGTGTTTGTCATTTCCTTTCCTGTGAGATGATGCTTGGTGTTACCCCGACTATATCTGGATGACGAGGTTAAGGGTTTGATTTCGTTCCAACTGAGAGGCTCGCTCTAAGATTTTTCAGTTCCTCTGCTTTGCTTGGAGCTAAAATCATTATTACTGTAATTCCAGCAGTAGTTTTCGACTGTTCCTCAAAATATCTTTGGTTGTGTTGGTGACTACCTTCATAGGTCTGGGGTTGACGGAAATGGTATTTATTTTTCCTAGTCTTGTTGGGCGCAGTCCTTTGAGTCAATTTCCAGGTTGCTAAGGATATCTTCTACATTTTTTTGATCTTCAAGTTGAAGTTCCCCTGCATCAGCCTTACTCGATTCACTCACTCCATAGAGGATTATATTTCTCTTATGTAAATCCCATTCTTCAATCTCTTCATGAAGTATAAATTTGGATTCAGAAGTTGCATTGGTTGTTTTGAGATGTTTTAATGTCATTGAGATTTCCTCAATTTTAGCTTCTGTCTCAGTTCATGAGGATTACATTTTATTGCATCTTATTTCGAGACCTTTCTGTCCTGCTTTTCAGCTCTTAATTTCGGTTGTCAATTTACTAATCGAATCTTTTAATTATTTTCAAACCTTCCTTTTGATTGTTGGTCAGATCTGCTTCAAGTTGAGATGTTCCATCACTAAGACTTATAGTGCTATTTAGTTTAGTGCTGTTTTGTAATTGGTGTTTAAAAATTTTAATTAGCTCGTTGTTGTCAGACATTCTCAGTTCCGACTTGCAGCATATAAAGTCGTTTGAATTTGAGTTTATCTTCACTCTATCTCCACAACCGGGGTGGTATGACTTGTGACAATTCGTGTAGTAGACTATGATTTTGATTATGGGCTTTGTACAATAATAACAGTTAGTAGTATTTTCTTGCATATGTCTCGCACTATTAGACAATAAACTCTAAATCAATCTTCAATATATAACGCACAACGCGTTGTCATCACTAGAATGGCCAATTTCACAGTGGAAAGTATAATAATTCTTTGAAAACTGTTTCGAATGTCGAGAAAAAATTTACACGTCTGGAAAGTAGTTAGGAAAGAAAGACAGGACAAGTGATGGTCAGAGCGGGCAAGAAGGGCATAGGCAGTGTCTCTGTGAAAAAGCACATGTGCATGCACTCACAGACACAAAGCCACACGCACACACATACATACACACATCAGACACATGCACTACACACGGGGGAATTTATGGAAGTTGTATGTGTGAACTTGTTATGCATTTTATGGAATTGTTTCTTGCCAAAATCAATCTATAAACATGATGATTTCACTTATCAGTCATATTTAATCGCTGTCAAAATGTTTGTTTATACAGGATGAGTCCCATTACTTTAGCACCTCCGATAACTGTTGATTATTGCAATGTAGTTTTTACGGAAGTGCAAGAGGAAATGGGGCTAATTGATACGTGTATTCATTTCTATTTTATGTATTTTATGCAATATTTGAGGTAACTTTGTTTTTTCAAATAGAACTATTCATATTTTTTTGATCTGTCATGCTGAGCGTAAAAAGACAAATCCAATGATACATGTATTGTCTTATGTTAGATTAGCATTATTTTGAGTAATTTTGATGTTTTTGCAACTAGTGTTAAATAGATATTTTGAATGTAACAGTCCGCCACACAAGATCACGCAGCGCACCCTGCTAGCACGCACTCGGGGAACGAAGGGATCTTAGTATTTGAAGAAGATTTGAATATTCATAAAATTGTTGCAGCTCTTTTTCTGAACTTCACTTTCCAACCTTCTGCATTTTCACATTTTTTGTGTTACTTAAGGATGTATTGAATACAAAATGAAATGTATTGTATGTATTGAAATAAGATTGTTATTTCATTTAAAGGGGTGTCATACCACTGGATAGAAATGGGATCTTGAAACTAAGCACACTGCAACAGTTTTGTGATTATTTGGAATATGTTTCAAATTTTCAAATACTGAGATCCCTTCCTTTCCCCAAGCGCGCGCTAGCAGAGGGGAGTGCTGCATGACCTTCTGTGGCAGACTGTTACATTCAAAATATTTGTTGAACATTAGTCACAAAAAAATCAAAATTACTCAAAATTCTGACATATGACATTATGTATATTATTGGATTCATTACGCTAGTCATGCTAGACCGAAAAAATATAGTTTCATTTCAGAAAAGAAAGTTACCTCAAATATGTCAAATACAAGTAATAAAATAGAAATGAATACTGTATCAATTAGCCCCATTCCCTCATGCACTTTGGTGAAAACTGCTTTACAATAACTTCAACCATTCAACAGTTATCGGAGGTGCTAAAGTTACCTGACTCACTCTGTTTATTGAATCTTCTTTTATTATAAATGTGTGGATGTTGTTTTTCCCCCTCCATTATTTCTCTTTTTCTTTCTGATATAGTCCCTTATGTCCAAAACATCAAAATCCAGTGTCAGGGTTCTACTTCTTGGAGAATATTGTGTGGCACAAAAATTTAATTTTTTATCACATTTGTATCCAAATTCTCTACCATGAAAACAATTGGCCAGTAACATATTCAATTATCTGGCCAGAGAACACTATGGGTCATGACATCTTAAGTATTCATAAGTTATGGTTTGTATTCACTATGCTATGCATCAATTAAACTAGTTTGCAGTAAAGCTGCCAGTGAAATTTCCATTTCTGAATTACATAGCTTTTACATTTTCTTTTTTCTCTTCTCTCTTTTTCGTTTTCTGTAGGTTTTCTAACTTCTTGTAAATAGATTTATCAGTAACATTCCTTGTCATGGAGTATGTTTGTATATTTTGTGCATTTTTCTCTGAAGCATATTTTAACTACAGTAAATGAAGTTAGAAAATAGTAATTGAACAGTAAAAAATTCTGAAAATTTTATTGGAATTAGTAAATTTTTAAAAGTTGTAGTTACCTCCAATTGGGATTTGACCCCAGGTCTTGTGTTTTCTGCTCAGTTGTTTTGACCTCTAAAGTACTGATTCTGAGAATGATTCATGATTCATGAGCTTGTGATTGCAATATTTATGTGTCTCCTTTTCACATTTATGAAATTCAGAATAGAATGTTCTGTTCAGCAATGGTGTGACCATGATATCAATGATATTTATGTTGTGACCATGTTATCAAGATCAAACTACCTAATTCTTTAAGGCGTTGGTGATTCCAAGCACACTTAGTAACATATTGACTACATTAATATCAGTAACTAAGAGGAAAATATGTTTGTGAAATTTGAGGCAAAGTGATTACATGAACTATGGAAATTGTTGCTGGTTCTTCTAGGAACACCTCATCAAAGTATTGTCAGCTTCAGCCAAATCTTTTTTTCTTTCTTTTGGGCTTATTTTCCAGTCTGCAAACAGAACATTACGTTCACTGTGTGAATATTAAAGCTGTCAGGGGCTTCTTTTGGGCAATTTTTTTAAAAACACTTGCAAATAGTCCTACTTTTACTTTCCTTTTTATTTCCAGGAAAATCCTGTAAATTCTAGGGAAGAAGCCCAATCTGATGGACCAAATACAGAATCCCCAAAATCTGACGGTGTAAGTTTTATTTCTGAACACATTTGTAGTAATGTTTACTTGCAGGTAGATTTGTTAGAAGCATACTGATGATTTAAGTCCTTAATTTAATTGTGTTAAATTTTTGTATTTAATTTTCATTCTCACTTCGATTTCCAATTATCAAAAGGAGGGAAGTGTGTCTTCACGAGTGATAATTGGGATGTGGAAGCATTTCTTGTAATTTTTCAATATTTAAATTTTGTGTCCAAAATTGTGCTCATTACTCCAGTAACATATAATTCAAAACTTTGGCATTTTTTAAAAATCTAAGTTTGAATTCAGGCATTCTCAAATATTAAGTTGAAATCGTTATTTTAATGTTTTTATGTTACTGGATAGAGGATGAATAGTAAAGAATAAATGTTCAATTTTCAGAATGGTGCAAAATTAGGCGGTAGTGGGAAAAGAGTATTAAATCGTGAATTGGAAGCTTTGATTAAAGAGACAGAAGATTTGGTAAGTGTCATTTATTTTATTAAAACTTTGTTTGGTAAAGTATAATTGTTACATTTCTGTAGATGTGAGAATAATCTTCAGTTTAAGACAAATTTAAAAAATTTAAACTGTGATCTTCTTTGAGAAATATTAAAAAATTATTAACCATGAATTCGTTAGTATATTATTTACTATACCTAACCTTATGCCCTAAACAGGTAAAATCAGAGTAGTATACCTGTTGCTACTATTGTAGGCAGGTACATTATACCTGTAACAAGTATACCTCTTGCTACTATTTTAGGCAGGTATATACCTGCCTGTAACTGATTCATAAATAATCATGTAAATAAACATTGTGTAAATAGGAAATCTACTGACTGTAATGCTGTAATACCTGAATGTAATTTAAAATACAAGTTTTTCCTAAATTTCACATTTGAATATTTAGGATTTGTCTCATATTCACAGGTTAAGCCTAGTTTGTAGGGATTTATTTTTCTACTGCCTTTAAATCACAAGAAGCTGATGTGCTAAATATTACCATATCTATAATTCCTTATATTTGTGGAGAATATATGGCATTGTAGTTAGTGAAACATGAAATTGAAACATTGCAGAGATTTTGTTACAAAATGTTCAACGAATCCTCACAGGCCCTCAGTTCAGGATGCCCAGCAAGTGCATATCAGCATTTTACAATAGTTGGAAATGAAAAAATTCACATCGGCAGAAGTACACAATGTATATCCAACCATGGAAACATGATAATAAAATAAATTAAAAGCAAAAAATTCCCAAACATTGGTAACTTTCCAAGGAACAGATGTAAGTGTTTGCGGTGCACAATTGGCTCACCGAAATGTAAAGTTAATACTTGTTAAAGAATCAGAGGCCACGCACACATACATCAGGAAGAAAATCTAGCAACACAGAAGATAATATTTTTGTGTGACCATTGAAAACTTAGGTTGAAATGTACGGTGAAACCTGCTGAATTGACCACCTCCTTTAGTGTTAATTTTTTCTTTGATCCAATTGATTTTCCCTTAAGGTACATGTAAAAATTCTCTCTTTTAAGTGATCACCTGTCTCCATTGTCTAGAGACAAGCACATTTCGTATATTTACGTGTATTAGAAGATACTGATATATTTGCCACAGCGATACATAATGCTATACGAAGTGGACGGCTGCTCGAGTTAATCATTGATTCAGTACCTTCGTGTATCGGAATGCAATATCAGATTACTTAGCACTGTGACATTTATAGTTCTTATTTTGCAAGGGTGTTAATTTGTGCTTTACATAATAATCATTTTCATGGATGCTATGAAGATTCGCCAGGAACAGTTTCAAATCTAGTTAGAAATCAAGTCCATGAATGAGGAAAAAAAGATCATGGATGTGAAAAATAAAATTATGCAAAACAAAAAATTGTGCATGAATTGTTTAAATGCACGAGGCAAATAATTTTAATCCAGATTTTTTTACTTAAAGTGTAAATAAAAATGTGTTACAGACTCTTACTAAAGATCATATTTACCTTCAATGCAAACAAAATTACACACGCTGACTTCTCTTTAGCTGTCATCTGTACCAACCACTAAGTTGTCGTCTGTACCAACAACAATATTTGTTGAAACCATCAGGGTCTGCTTAAAACAGGTTTCACTGTACATCGATATAAGTACCCATATCAGTATTGATAAAAAATAATTAAAAGGAATAAAACTTAATATGGTATATGTAATGGGTTTGTCGTTAAATTTGTCATTATAAGTCATTGACCTGTTTGTATTAACATTGTTTTAGTTGCTTGGTTCTTCAGCTCTTGATGACTTCGATGATAATGAAGAGGATGAAGACGACGATGATGATGATGATGACGACCTCGATGAGGATGACGATGATGAAGAAGAGTGTAACTTTGTAATGGAATTTGATCAGCATAAGAGAGATTATTATATGAATAAATTGGAGTATAGTATAGTGAACGAGTAAGTAAAATTTACCTGCTAAATGTTTTGTGTCATGAATAGTTCTAATAAATTTAATTTTGCAGAATTTTCTTGTTTAAAATTACAAAACTTTCATGACAAGAATTTCTTATACTTGTGATTATTAAGTAAGCTGCATGTACCCATGTGCCTGTCTATCCATTACTTAACAATTAGACCTGTTCCTGTCTACTATTCTTGACAATGGACACGTCTCATTCTACTACAGGGCAACTGACAGTTCTTTTTTCCAGACCTTCCAGAAAAACCATAGAGAATTTTCAAACAAACATGTTTTGGAATTTTTAAGTACCTAAAACACATGTGGGCTGTTTTGAGGCACCTACAGAGGTGATCAATAACTCATTTTAATTCTCTTGACATTGTGAATCAATTAGTATTAATTTAAACTGATTCCTTCCAAGAATATTGTGAAAAATAGTAGAAAAAGCTTCTTTTGGGGGTTTCAAGATACCTACAGTGATGTCATGTTGTTAATTACAGTAAGTATTGTCTTTCTGATGTAACATGAATTGGTTATTCAGACTTCATTAATCAGACTCATGATAATTAAACCTAATTTTGTAAAGAAATATAAAAATTGTTTAAAAAAAAGGAATTAAGTTAAAAAAGTATTTTCTGTTGCTGTAACAGCTCTGTGCATCCTGGGCTAGTTTACAATAAGATAATTTTAGTGGCTCGGATTTGCTAATGGTCACAATGCAGTGGTGGGGAGAGAGCAAGAAAGCAGAACTTTCCTGTATGTTACTTGGTTAAGAGCAAAACATTAACATACCTTACTGTGTGTTTCTTAGTTGCGTTAAAATCTTACTGAGAGTGGGTCATAATTTGTCAGTGATGTAAAAATTACTTGTGACAAATCACATTCTCTTTAAATATTCTTTATTTTGTTCATTTAAGCTAAATGCTCAATACAATTTTATAAATTCATACAATACTTGTACAGTTAAAAGGTTAAAAATAATGCAATAAGTATCATTATAGACTTATCAGAACATCAAAGATTTGATAGTTACATGAGATTCTTAATTATGATCACAGAAAATACTCATCTCACAGGTTCCACAAGCTGACACATAGAAGTCATTAAAATCTAAATTTAATATATTTGCCAAATGACACATTCTCCAAGAGGACAATGCTATAAAGCATTAGTTTCAGCAATAGATTTTAAAAAATGTATCGTCAGATTTTCTCAGACCTCTGTGCATCACCTTCCATGAAATTTTTGTCAATACTTCCCCACAATCCATGCGATTTTGCAACAATTTTGTAAAAATACACCAATGATTATAATTTTATGTGGCTTTAATGAGCTCAATCTCAATGGTGTAACCATTGACGTATAATCAGGGCGCATACGAGGTGATTCCAGTCTTAAGTTTCCTCGCCTCAAAATTTATAAACATGTCTTGAATTTTTTTAAGTTAATAGATCTCATTTTGCTTGTGCAGAGATCAAAGAGATGATACCTTCAATATCATTGGTCTCGCCAGCATTACAAACGTCAAATCCCTACATCTGTAAAGCTTTAATTAATATATAATTTATGTATAATAATTAGTATATAAGATCTACATCGAATGTCAGTTTTGAGTTGAAAGAATTCACCCAGATCTTTAATGTGACCTACAGTATCTAATAATTTGTTGTCTATCGAATAAAGGAATTTAAGGAATTTCCTTAACCTTCCATACCTTACAATCTTATATTTTTGAATATTCAATTTGTTTATTAACCAAGCTCCAATGTAAGAGACTATTCAAACCATCAATATCAAGATATTTCATTTCCTCAATAACTTTAAAATCATCTACGAAAAACAGAATTAAATTTAAAGGTAAATAATTCTTCGTGTTATTAATAAAAGAAGAAGTAAATATGAGCTCTAAGAGGTTAACCCCAAGGAACATCTGAGGCCATATCGCTAACTTTTGAAATTTAAGATTCTGAGTTAACATACTGCACTCTGTTTAGCAGATATCTTCTTATCCTCGATAACAATGTGCCATGAATACCCAAGCCATTCAATTTTTGCAACAAATTGAAACTGATTCCTGTAAGATTCTCTTAATTAAGCTAGCAATTCTTGCATTGCCTTGCCTCTGGATTTACGAATCAGTGGTTTTGTTTAAAATGACTTAACAGTGGGAACATATTTTTGGAGGATACAGATATCTATAACAATATCACTCAACATAGCAATCATATTCATCAAGTGTCAGTATCAATGGCTCAGTACAAAAATTCACATACAATACATGTACATTATTTTACAACATATTACTAGATGACATTAAATTATTAAAATCGATTCACAATTTTAAGTAATTATAGACTACTAAGCATCTAAAAGGAAGGTAATATTGATTTTAACATTGATGTTTAATCTATTTAACTACTAATCTTAGTTCTGCATAGGTCTAAAAGACTATGAGCAAGTAGTAGACTGTAACAAGTAGTGTACCTCATCATCTGGGACTATGACCCCCCCATCTCAATCAGGTATTCCGTGCAGGTTCTCTAATCCTTTGGAATGCTGAGATAGTCCTTAAGTTGCTTCTAAACATAAATGCTCTCTCTATGTTTTCTCACTCAGTTCTCAACATAAATTCACTCTCTGAGTGTTTTTTAGAGTTCAGAGTGAAATATAGTTTATGTTATTGTTCTTCATATTCTTGTGGAAGTAAGTTCATTCCTTCATGAAGGGCGTGATGAGGAACAATAACTAAAATCTGTCACTGATTTGCTTTTGCTAATAGTTTTTATTACATGGGAGCAAATAGTTTGTTATCAATTCTTGTCAAAAACACTTGTATTCATAATTCAACTTTTGTATGGGATAGGGTAGAGATCCCAGAATTTAAGGAAACATGCACAGAATACATTTCTCCCCATATTACATCAAACAGAGATTTTATCTGAGAGCGTAGGCTTCCGCGTCCGGAGTCAGTAATTACTAGGCTGTCCGGGTGACGCCGCGTCCATGGCGAAGGTGCCGACGTTTCTGTCGCCATTATGCAACCTTCCTCATGGCATTACGCCCTGAGGAAGGTCGCAGAATGGCGACCGAAACGTCGGTACCTTCGCCATGGACGCAGTGTCTCCCGGACAGCCTAGTAAATATAGAGATTTTATCTATTGTGGCATTAAATAAATGAATAATAAATAGGTAAATAAAAAATAAATAACAATTTAAAAAGAAGATTTATCACTTTGCCTCTAATAGGAATTGAAAATAAACATGATTCTCTTTACTCAGGGGAATTCTGCAAACAGATCTTTCTGAAATGCCCAAAGCACCTGCCACTCACTTATGAATGGCGTTGACGGTTTTAAAATCTTCTTCTGGTTCTGTCTTCATGCATTTATACTCATTTGCAACAATTTCACACCTCTAAAAAACTTTCTTATGCAACTGGACTTGGCAAGCCACTTTGCTGTTATTAGTGAATGCCTCACAGAAACAACACACTCGCAAAGAACAGTACAAATGCCCCACTCAAGTTAGAAAACAAAACTGATTGCTTGTGGAAGTTACATAACGAAAACTGAAATGCAGGGCAAATAGTAATAGATCTGGCATAGAGCAGACAACAGTTTTGCAAAGGGTTGATCGCTCCTTAAAACAAGCAGTTTAAGACATCAACTGGCCCAGCAGTACTGCCCTCAGCCTTCAGTGGCCTTACTAAAATAATACTACTCTAAGTAATGTGTGATCACTCAGTTATTAACTCAACCTCTGCCAGCTTCAAGTTACTGTCAAATGAAATACTGTTAAACCTGACTAAGATAGAACTTACTTTAGCTGGAAAAAAATCTCAGAATAGACTGTTTTCCAATGGAAAGTACACTGGATAAGAAATCTGCATTACACAAAAACAGAAAGGAATTTTTAGTACGACAGTATTAAAAATTCTGGACAAGACTGAAAACAAATATTGTTTTAAAATTAAACATTGACTTGCAAGTGTTTACCACAAGACACTCAGAGTTGTGCTCGTGCATTTGTCAGCTACCCTCAACTGAATATTGTATTTCCCGTGCTACTCGTGTGAAAGCCATTATTTATTTGTAATAGCACTGATCTTCAGAAGACCATGTGAAGGAAGGGGAGTCGCAAAGAGTGATCCTTCTGCAGTTCTTGCAATGCACACTTTGGGTTTAAATGTTTACTGTCGTTCAGTTCGATGAGTTATAAGTATTGTGTAAATCTGGTGTTTATGATGTCAGGTGGCAAATTGAAAACATTATCTCGTGATGAGAAAATTAAACTATTTGAAGAACAAGAAACAAAACAACTCTCTGTCAAGGTTCTGATACAGAAACTTAGTTGGGAAAACTCAAGTGTGTGACACCTTAAAAACAATAACAAAAGCATGAATTAGTGGTTAAAAGAAATTTTTTGTAGGTGGCTGCCCCAATATTCACAAGTACCAAGGTAAAGAGCCAAAGGCTAAATCATCAGATAAATTCATATATTTCTTATATATTGAAGAAAATAATATTTATTTTTCTTTTTATGGATTTCTTTGTTTCGTTAGACTTCATGTTGCGCTTCTGTATGTCATTTTCTCTGCCTCTCCTGGGTAGTCTTCATTTCTTTGAAATGTAGTTTTTAGGCCAAATAAACTACTCATTCAACGTATACCATCTTTAAATGATTGTGTTTTCTGAATTGACCATTTTTATTGAAAACCTCAATTAGCCTAAAACCTGTACATGACAAGAAAATGTTGGACCCAAATGATTTCGGCTTAGGTGTTTCTGTATATTGTTTTGCTATGTAATGTGGACCTCCATACCAAGAAAAAAATTCCAATAGACGCAATGTAGGGTTCAAAATATGTGTTAAGAGCGGGAGGGTCTATATTTTACCTAACTATGAGTGAAAATTTGAGTTATTAGTTATTATACTGTTAGTGGATGTGTTAAGTTTTTAACAGAGGTTAAAGATATAAGATGCCTGTTGATCGTAAAATTGGTCACTGTTTATGTGGGTTGGGGAGTATTCTAATGTTTTTGTTTGAGCTGTGTCTGTCACAATCTCACTCTTTATTATGCTCTTTCTTTCACTCACTCTGACTCACTGTCTGTCTCTTACTCTCACTTTCTGACTCACACCTCACTGAGAGAGCAAATAAATTATTAAAATATTGTTAAATATGTAATAGTTTTCAGAGAAAAAGCCAGTTATCCAATTCAAGTAGGAATTTACTTCAGAAATAGCTTCTCAAATTTTTATGAATTCATAAATATTCATTATCTATTTTATATTTTTCCAGAGAAGTTATGCGCTCTCAAGCAGAAGGTTACGTTCGTGCAATACAATGGAATCTCAATTACTATTACAATGGTGTTTGTTCATGGTCATGGTTTTATCCTCATCATTATGCTCCTTACATTTCTGATGTAAAGAACTTCTCTGAACTGAAATTAGAATTTGATATGGGAAAGCCGTTCCTTCCATTTCAACAGCTTTTAGCTGTACTTCCTGCTGCCAGGTAAATGTATTACCTTGGATAATTGGGTGACATCAAACTTTCTTTACATTATATTGATAATTTATTATTTGCACTGTCCCTGCTTACATCTTTTTATCTTGACACATAACAGCAAGAAACTTCTTCCTGAGCCCTATCAGAAGTTGATGATAAATACCGATTCACCAATAATTAGTTATTATCCTTCTCAATTCAAGACTGATTTGAATGGTAAAAAACAGGAGTGGGAAGCTGTTGTTTTAATTCCATTTATTGATGAGGTAGGGTGTGTGTGAAATGCTTTTAATAATTTTTGTTAATATTGTATAACAAAGAAATAATATATTTGTTATTGTTGTTCTGGTAATATTCATTAATTCAGTTTATTAATAGAGAATATAGAATGAAAATAATTAAAATAAATTTAGTAAGTTAAATGTTAATTTCAAGTACATCATAGGTAAAATATACTATTTAAAGTATGTAAAACATGCATTGTAAAGACTGGTACACTTTGATATTTCAGACTGTATTGTTGGAAGCAATGGAGCCGATTAAAACATTATTGACTCCAGATGAACAAAAACGCAATTCACATGGACCAGCACTTGTGTATGAATACACAGAAGATGATTTGGGTATGATAAGGTCTTGTTTATGAAGTATTTGTTTGAATTGTTTTCTCACATTCAGTATATCTACTTTTCCCTTAAAAGGACATTATGCTGCACCGGAGTACTTTCCACCGATATCACATCATCATGCAAGTGTTGTTGAACTTCACAGAGAAGAGTTATTTGTGGATCCCTGCAAACTTATAAAAGGATTGTGTCCTGGTGCAAAATTAGATGTGTATTTTCCTGGTTTTCCTACATTCAAGCACATTAAATATTGTGTAAGTAATATTCAAAGGTTATCAAAATTTGACCTGGAAAAACTTTCTTAATTATTAGAAAATATTTTAATTTATCCCCCTTAAGTTGTTTTGAGAATGTAGAATATTGAAGTGTCCAAAATAAGAAATAACAAAAACCATATACACTCCAATATAACCTGCACTTTCATTTTCCAACAAGGAATCTTCAAAAAAACAACTTTTTTCACTTTTTTTACTTTTATTGCAAAACTTTCTGTACTCAAAAAAACCACCAATTGAAATGTTAAATCGGTTAGAGTGCAATTTTTATAAAGCTATGCGTCAAGGTCTGTCTTCATGTCAGGCTTTTCTCGTCTTTCTCGGTTGTGCTACTAATGTCACAACCGTATCACGTGGTGCTTGATACAGTCCTGATCATAGATATAGATATAGCGACACTGAAATGCGTGATTTATTCCATCACACCCTTGAAGTTTGTTGTACCAACATTGACTCGAATATTACCCGCACACCAATTTTCAGCCAGCAATTTTTGAAAAGAATATGTGGGTTGTATTTCAGTATATACAGTGTAGCGAAATGCCAGTATGCCAGTAACAAAATTGTGGGGGCCTCAGTAAGTATTTTGTTATATTGAAATTTCAATCTACTGAAGAAAGTCAGATCTTACGAACAGAAACTATCTGGTGCCCGTTGCAGGATCTACATTAACATGAATTTACAAATGAAAATGATTTATATAGATCGAATGAGAGGAATCAATTTTATACATTAATTACAGTTGTTCATAATTTTGCACCAATTTTTTGCCAATTGGATTTAATAATGATTGTTTTGAAAATGCATTTTCAATGGATACAATTCAAAATCAAACTATACAATTGAACTATAAAATTGTGACATCCATTGGTTGTCTGTAATCTATGTGCTCTTACCCACCCATTGACATGACTTCTTCATTGAAAGACAACCATAACTCCATGATTCACATTCATTTCTGGAAAATTACTGCAATAGTAGAATCATTTTAATAAATACAGTGACCTCCAACAGCAAATATTCTGCTGAACAAAACCACCCAAAATGGTTTTTCAAAAAGTAGCATGCACACTCCAGAAGAACAACAAATAAAATTCTCTCAAATAACATTGCAATAAATTAAAAATTTAACAAAAAATACTTCACAAATATTGTAATAGTTCATTTTTCTTTCAGTCTGTAAAACTTTTAACTTTGACATTATTTTGATAGTCAGAAATATATAATTTTTGGATAAAATATTTTTATTTAAATAAATCAAAAAATTAAGTATATATCTAATTTATTTAAAATGTATAACATATGGTTAATTAACTTTCATAATCGCAATGATTATTGAAATTAATTAATTTAATTACGTCTGAAGATGAAAATATTTTTTTCCAAAATGTCATGATTATGAAAGGTATTTAACTACATATTATACCTTGTTAATAAATTGAATATACATTTTATTTTTTCATTTTGTTTAAATCAAAATCTGATATCCAAAAATTATACATTTCTATGTATAAAATAATAACCAAGTACAACCTGTGAAAGTTAATCAATGTAATAACGTAGCATAGTACATATCAGTGCAGCATACCTTTACATACCAAGATTATCAAAAACATTGCTGTTCCATAATGTAGCATGTCAATAGCAAATATTTAATGGTGGTCTGCTTCTTCCTTGGAGCCTTGCTGTTGTATGACAAGCTGTGTCTAAGCAATGATGTACATGAATATGAGAAGTCAGTTGGTACGTGCAGTGTAAAAATAGGCAAAATAACACGATTATCGCATATTTTTAGTCAAAATTGAAAACTGTTTCATTGTTATTGGATATTTCCAGAGATCATGGGTATCAATTAAAACCACAAATAGTTCAAAATTTTGTACTTTTCTTTCAATTTTGGTGCACATTGAAAATAAGAAATATATACAATACACAAAATATTTATTGTGAGCGAGGTGAATTTCAATTAATTTAAAAAAAAAACAAAGATAAAAATTTGGAAAAAAATTTAATTTGGTGAAATGAAATTTTACGAATGATACAGGAAAATGGGGACCTGAAATTAATTTCATTCAACTGCAGTTTTTGTTATCTTTGTATTCATAAGGACATTTCAGTGTTAATGGTGTTTTTCGATTTTTAACTTTTACCTAATTTATATTATTTTCTCACTTAACTCTGAATTCTTTGATGTATATTCTTTAAATATAGAATTACTGGGCATTTCTCTTTAAAAAAATGTGCAGTGCAGTTTGTTATTAATCCTATAATAACATTTTGTCTGCTGTTGTTCTAGTCATCTCTAGAGAAGAAAAAGGTTAAAGTTTTTGAAATGCCAAGCCGAGGAGATAACATGATTGTTCACATTTTAAACGAAAGCAAACCTGATGTGAAGCAAGTGGCCACAGATCTTCTTGGGAAAAGTGTGTTTGTTGATTGGCCTCATCTTTTAGAAGCAAAGTAAGAATATGAGGAAATAGTGTATATGAATTCACAGATATATTTTACATTTTGTGTTAAAAATGTATATATTCCCCTCAGAGTGATTGCTGTGGTTAGTAGGGAAAAACGTTACGCTTTGCCATTAGAGTCTAATACAAATTCCTCAGCAGAAACATGCGAGATTATAGAGGAAGAAGTAAAAGGCAATCTAGCTGCAGTATGGACATCTCAAAAAAATGCCATTCAAGAAAGGTTAGTACTGTAATAGAAATGAGAACATAGTTTATTTAAAAAAATATATGAAAATAAATAACAGCAACTTGCATCACCCTCACAACAATCCTTTATAACTACCTCCAAGCATGTGATATCAATACTGAGCACAGTGATATTGGTTCTCATGAATTTTAATATCATTGTACATCATCCAATGAAGTCCTGATTTTAATTGGATTTTTTGTATAGTTCAGTTTCTTGAAGTATTATAGTATTTAAATCATGTCATAAATATTTATTTTTGTCTGCATCTAAAGGTACATGAATCGACTTGGGGTTGACATAGGTACAACAGGAATATTACTTCAGTGCTTGCCCATTGTTGGTCGACAATTTGCATTTGGCAAGCAAGGTCGGATTACATTAGACAAGCATGTAAGTATGCTGTGTGTTTCTTGAGTTTATACATGGAAAAATTCATTTTTTTTGAAAGGGGTTTTATGAAAATATATTTAAATAAAACACTTCCAAAAGATTTCTGAATTTGGTCTTGAAAAGTATTTATTCCTTTCGGTATTTTGTGGGAATAAATCCCTTTACATAGATTTATGCTGAGAATGACATTTTATTTTTCATAAATGTATGTTGAAATTAAATATAATCACTTTCAACATTCCCAGATTCACTCACATCCCCCTGATTTGTTGTCACTTTCATAGAACTGGAAACATTCCCTAGTATACCGTCCTCGCTCCTGTCCATCTTATTTGAAATGCCACTCACTTTAAAACTTTGGCAACCAGTTCGCCTGAAATCAGTGCCCACACTTCCGAAATCCACTGGCAAAAGTGCACCCACTCGTACGTCACATGAAATTCGGTTTTGAAATGACACGTGAAATTTTTTTGAAATGTCACATGATATTTTTTTTTTCCAACTGCTGAATATTTACATTCTTGCCTGGAAATACACATAATACACATGTGTTTCTTGAATCCACCACCTCACATTTGTGTCATCAACATTGGACTTCCTCCCAGCTACTCGATTCCTGTACAGTTCTGCAAACTTCACTGCGGCTTATACATGAGATTTTTCTTCTTCAAATTATTGTGTCAAAGATCGTTAGTGTGACCTAAACATGGACACAGCATATACACAAACAAACGATACGACAATAAAATAAATAATAATTCAAAAGGTTTCTTTAAGAGAACAAAATAAGATTGACTACAATACATGTAACACTTGTGACCAGTGGAAGATTGTGCAATCAGTGTATCGACTTTACTTAGATTCTGTATTTTTGATGTTGGTTACTTACTTCTTAATCAAGTCTAAGAATTATCAGCATTTGTTCACTTTTTGGAATTCATGTAAATGTTTCATTGATCAAGATATACACAAGTGTCTCGCAAAACTGATCTTACCCATGATGTGTTGGCAGAAATAAAACAGTATTACAGTTCACTACATCACGCTGTGTTTTCAAATACCTACTGACTTTAATACATTACATTTTAATGCATTTCAAATTAAATTATAAAGATCATAAACATAATTAGTATTTACACACATTCTCTGCATTACAATAATTTACTTTCAAATGAGTTAACAAGAACTAGCATAAACCTTCAGTTCATGATGTATTAAAGTAATTAAGTATTTCTAAACAAATAAACAATTTAGTAAACTAATATTGTTTTACTTCTACCAACATTTCATGCATATGATTGATTTCCTGAGCTGTCGTAAATGTGTCAGCTCTAGATGGTGAAATATAAAAACATGTTCTCAGATTTAGTTGGAAGCTTAAAGTCAATTTTTTTTTAAATTTCTGGATGCAGTATGGTGATCTGTATTTTAATCTATACCATTTTTCTTAAACTATTTAACATCATTAATATAATTGTTGCTAAATTTATTTTATTTTGTATTATGTTTCTTAATTTTAAATTTGTCATTACTATTTTGTCTCTTACTTTGCATTTTTTATTCAGTGCTTGTAAAGAAAAAGAGAGAATGAAAGAAAAAAAAGAAAATAATGGGATTGTGTTTCCAAGATATGATTGTAGAGCAACTATTTATGCATGTTCAGTTTTTTTTTTAACCACATGCGCTGACGTTTACCAGATCTTTTTGTATTAAGTGTTTTAGTGATTTGACTCTAAAAAAATATTAGAGTCAAGACCAAAGAAAAAGAATTGCTTTTTTTGTATGTAGAGACTGATGGCCATGTCTGTCCATTTTAAACTGAAGAGTTCCCAAATAGAGCCCTTGGGTTACTAGTGAAGGTATTTTATATACAAGTTATAGTTGTCCCCCTGCATAAACAGACTGACCCTTTCAAGAATTAGCAAATCTATTCTTTCTTTTGTACATTCAATTCCAAACCTGTAGGTTTAGAAATCATGGTAATTACTTTACAAACAAGTTCTTTGAGAGCTTTACAAAGATTACTTTTTAGATGTCAACCACTTAATTACCTTTTCCCAATTTGATTGTGTAATGTTATCCATTGTACAGAGAGATTTATATAATTTAATATTCATAACTATTGATTATTCTTGAAGCTGATGATCTCTTGCGTCGTTACAAAAAATAGTTTATTCGAGTTCTATAAGCACACCTTGCTGCTATTTACATTCGTCTTTTAAATACAGTGACTATTCCTTGATGCATTCTTTTGCTTCTTGTGTTTCAGTGGTCTAAAACTGCAAGTGCATTTGCCCTCCAGGCTACAGTAAAAGATATTTCGGTTCATGATCCAAGTTTTGCAGAATTTTCTAGTGTGGAAGAGGTCTTTCCAGTTGGCACACGTGTCTTTCTTTTGGGACTTCCACATTACGGCTACATGGGAGAGGTAGATATGTTTATACATTGTAAATGTATCTTGTAGTTCTTATTTATTTAGTAATTATTCAGTTTTGATTTAAATTACCCACTGACAATTGTATATTGGGTTTAAAGTAGTCCACACATTATTAAGATCATATAAGTTCTTATTGTCTTTTTGGTAGATTAATATGTAAGTTTGTTTCTTCAATTTGTTGATAATTTTAGATGTGTGAAAAGAATTTCTGTTTTGTTGATATAAAGTAATGTTTCAGGTTAGAGATTATGAAGAAGGAGCTCAAAGAAGTGGCCGTGTCAAGATCACAGTTACAGTCACAATGGAGCCAAATCTAGCAGCTGCTCATGATAAACATTTGAATTTCCGTGTAAATTATATGCCTGGTAGGTAATTTTGTTTTTCTTATTATTAATACAAATGCTATCAAACAAAGACACAAGCACCACTGATAATTGAACAGGAGGGCCAAAGGCAGAAAAAAGGAAGATAAACAACTTCAGATCATGCTGCATTCACTTAACCATCTAGAACGAATTGTGCAAGTGTCCTGTTATAAGATATTTGTCTGTCTCGAAGAGGCTGCACCAGTGATGGTTGCCAAAACACGATTGTCCATGCAACTTTTTTACAGTCAGAAAGATTCCAACAATAACTGTTTGACCTAACGAATAAACTGCTGTGATGCAAATGCTTAACGCAAGTGAAGAAAGCGGACACTTATTTGTCCAATCAACTGAATGGTGTGGAAAGGTCTTAGAACATTCGGACCAGGAAGCCATGGTTGATTGTTGGATGTTTGGCGTAGCCACTTGTGACAGTTGCAGGCGTATTTCTGAGAATCACTCTTGCCAAGCTGCGCGTACAAGGAACCAGGTGAACGGTCAATCCCCAAGAACCCTCACCCACTGGGTACCACCCGGTTGGCAAACAAACTGGCGAACAGAGGAGCATGAATACAATAGCATAGAGCTAATGGCTGAGAATGAAGATATTTATATGAAGCATTTACAAAACTATAGTTTTTTGTTTTTACAACAGTTTCTCAGGAATTTGTTTATTTACAATAAATGGGCAATTGGCAAATTTTACATTTGTAGAATATACAGAACATATAAGGTGAAAAAAAACATAAAATATATATACATAGCCCTCAATGAAATGTCAACTCGATCGACTGAGATGCTGCTCATCCCATACAGCCAAGAACCGTCATCCCCAATTTTATTGTGAACCAATGGAATGCTCTCCCAGTCGATTGTGTTGTGAAAAATACTTGAGTATCATTGAAAACCTGTCTATACAATTATTATCATGCAAATTAAGTTGTTAGTGCAATATATATGATTAGAAGCCGATAATTTTGTGAGAAATGTGTATATCAGCTTGCTGTTGCTTCCATTTAAATAAATTTAAAAGAAATACAGGACGACTTGACTATTTATTTAATAGTTTAGAATGTTTAGTAGCATTTAAAGTTAACATGATAGCTTCTAAAAGTAATGCGTATATTTTAGAAAATAAATTATAAACATTTTTATGAATTAAAATCACTTAGAAACTAAATTGATGTCCATACCTAGATCATTCATAAGACCATTGTCTGGATAAGTAGCATTGCCTAGTGTATCTTGATTATTTTTGCTTTGTCTGTATTTGAAAGTTCAACAATATCTAGTTTATTCAAGTCTGTCTGCCAGCGTCTTCACAAAGGCTCTGGTGCTTTGGAGGAGATTCTCAGCACTGATTATCTAATGTGTTATGGCAAGATGAGAATGCAACCTCAGCTGCATCCCATGTGCATCAGCTATGCAACTTCCAAACATGTGACACTGCTTGTTTTTTATGCAGCAGCTTCTCAACCCATAGGCAGTGAGTTTGGCTTATGAACATCCTTTCAATGCATGGAGGGCTGAAATGGCAATAACTGCTCAGATGAACTGAGCACGGATCACCCTGGACTGCCAAATATCCAATGACTCCGGCTGCGGAAGCTTATCTAATATTTCAGCTGCAACTTTGATCCTGGCTGGATCAATTATTTCATCCAGAGCTTCATCAGATGGATTTACTTTTATCTATTTGGTTCAATACAGTAACATTGTTACTTCTTGGTACGGTCCTCATGTTACACTGACATGTATGAACGAAAATGTATTAGTTTTTGCCCTTAAAAATCCATGGCTTCGATCAGGTTTGAGCCCGCCAAGTTGGGTACAACAGTCCGCTAACCGTTACACCATCGCCGCATGCATTGTGTATATTATAGTGAAATGCAATCCTTTAGAAAGTACAATCCTAAAAATTCCCTTTTTGAATTAAAAATACTTTTTGCAGATTAATATATGAATTTAAAAATATAATTATTTTTTTTAAATAAAAAAAATTAACTCGTAACCACCAATAGATATCATAGTCAAATATAGAAATAATTAAAATTACATGAGGAATTATATTTTTAAATCCGTTTCCTAAATGAGTTTGCTAGATGTTAAGATTGTTGGCATTTATAATAATTAACTATTATGGAAATTGAATGATGGAAGTAGTAATTATTTGTTGTGTGTCTCAGGGAGTTCAGCTGCTCAGAGATTGAGCATTTCACCACACTTGCTGTCAAGAATAACTGGTACTATATATATTGTTCATGGAGAGTGGGCAGATGGTACTGAAAATAAAACAAATATTGGCCTAAATCTGAAATTCAACAAGAAAAATGAAGAGGTAAGCAACAAGTTAACAACTAAAGGAAGTAAACAGCACAAAATCTTCATGCAAAATTTTTCACTGTAAAAATTAATTATTTTTTTTATTTATAGATTCCAGGTTATACCAAAAAGGACAATGGAATGTGGCTGTACAGTCTCAAAGCTGTGGATCTGGTAGCAAGCTACATGCAACAGTTCCCTGAGTTGTTTGATTATCTGAGTGCCAACACTGGGAATGATGTGTTCAATGAAGCAGATGTGTTTCCTAATTCGTGAGTACTTTTTTAATATCTCATTATATATAGTAAATCCTTGTTAATACGAATTCCAAAAGACTGATATAAGCGAAGTTTGTGTTATGAAAGTGTAGTCAGCAAATAAATATAAAGATTTCATTTTACTTCTTTAAATGAATTATATCTTTAAATAAGTACCTTTGTCAGCAAAGGTGACTCAGTACATCCACTGATAACACTGCAGTGACTTTGACCAGGAGGTCCCAGGGTATGAATCCCAATGGTGGTAGGAGTTTTGACAGCTGGGTCGAGTTCAGCCACTGCCTAGGGGATAATTCTAGTGACTGGCTTGGTTTCTCCTAGGGAATGCCGAAGTAGTACCCTAACAAATGGGCCATGGACCGCATACCTTGCATTTCCTTGCTCTTCCTTTCCTCGCCCTTACTGACACACCCATACTCTCACTTGCACTACATCACAGTTGCTGTCAGGTTGCAATGGAAGACTGATAGGCATTGTGTATTAAAAAACTAAACAATCTGGACACTGAACGAAACACAGATTCCTTGGGCTTCTCAAGGAAGTTGTGATTGTTCTCCCTAACGATTATCTATGGCGATATATAGTCTAGATTTTTATTATGGCCTGATAAGCATACACATACCTGTACATAATTTAACAAGGGAAAATTAGCTAGGACTTGTAAATAATCCATCAACATGAAAAAGTGTAAGTGAAAAGTGTATTATTAGGAGTATTACTGTATGATTGCAGTTATGAGATAATATTGTAAGAGAACCATAGCACAGACAAGGCTATGAAATTACTGTTTTGTTTCATTATTAACTTACGATCTCGGAGGTAATTAGAAATGATTTACTTTTATTGTTCAAAATAATCTTAAATAAATATTGTATATTGTACATCCAAGCAGATTGCTTCATTGCCTCTTATTGTTTCAATGTGTCATTTGTTTTTTATTCAGTCTAAAAATATTATTTCTCTCTCTCTGTCTCTCTCTCTGTCTCTCTCTCTCTCTCTCTCTCTGTCTCTCTCTGTCTCTGTCTCTCTCTTTCTGCCTCTCTCTCTCTTTCGCTCTTTCTCTTTCTTTCTCTCTCCCTTCCTCTCTTTCACACTAATTTCTCTTCCCCTTACCTCAAGAATTAATTGTAATGTTATGTTGTCTTTTTTCTTTCAGGAAGGATACAATTCCTGCTATTTCTAATTGGTTAAAAACTCAGCCATATTACATCATTGAAAGGCAAGTGTGTGGTGCTGCTGTGTTAGATCCAGAAATCGTTCAAGAAATAGAGAGAACTGTGGACATGCATTATCAATCAAAAAACTCTGTAAAAACTGTCTCAATGCAAGTTAAACCACACTTGCTTTTTAAGGTATACAATGTTTTCTTTAAATAGTTAAAAATGCCTACTGAAAACACTGCACAAAACATTCAGTAAGCTCAATGATCTTCAGAGCCAATGTCACAAAAGTTGACTGTTCAGTTGATAAGTTGTTTCTGAGTTAAATGTAGTTGTGTAGCACAAGAAAAACAAGAGTCCAGGTGGAAGGATGTAGATGCTCTCACAGTGCTAGGTCTTTGGTGGGGCAACTACCAGACTTGCGGTGTGTAGATTTCGCCTTTGCTACCAACATTTCTCCAGGCTTTTACCAACAATCTCACATGTTACTCCCCAAATGCATTAAACGAAATCAATTTCTTACATTTTTTCCCGTGTCTTAATGACAATGCAATTGTTTATTATTTTGTAAACATATCTTTATGATGAAGAATTGAGTTGTATTTTTGTAAACGTGAATAACAAGAGACAATTAATATCAATTCTGATTACAAGGAGATTTTTAGCAGCAGGAATGAAGGCAAATAAGCAAAGGAAAACTCAGACATGAACTCAGCATTGTCCTGAGATCCAACAAAGAAGACTGTGATTGTAGTTGATCTGTTGGTAATATTGAGTGTATCCTTTTTGACACTCAAAAAAGAACAAAGTTTCTTTACCTACATGTTCCCATTTGCTGCTATAAGTAAAACAATTGCTGAAATTATTTTCTTATATACAAAGAATGTTTGTAAAACAATCTCAACCTAGGTCAAGCACAAAAAAATGATTTATTTCTAACTTACCAAGAATCCTAGTCTTTCTGACTATAAAATTATTCAAACTCCCATGCAACTAAGCCAATGGTTGCTGATATTGATGAAGTTTTTCTGGTTTCACTATTCGGCTACAGCAGAAAGAACTTGCCATTACTCAACCAGTACAGATATGTCTGCTAAATCTGCCTTCACGTACAAGGCAAATATTGCTGCACTAACACCATCTGCAACAGCAACACAGCATCACTGTTTAAGAGTATCATCAGGTCCAGTAATGGCTAGATGTCCAAAAATCCAGAAGAGTGAAGATACAAAAGAATGAAATCTTACCTTTCATCTGTGACAAAAATTTGGTTACTATCCACTTTCCCAGCTTTATTGAAGTTCATAACTCAATTTGCGTTCATTTTGTTATTACTGCTACCTCAGCTTCATTGAAGTCTACTTGTAAATGCTCCAAAAATTGTCTGCAAGAAAGCTTTAACTTTTGTCTATTTAATGCTCAAACTTGTGACTCAACTTCACAAAGAGTTGTGGCAATATCACTATTTTCTAAAAACGACCTGAAAGATGAGTAACGAGCTGGAATAGGACAAGATGAAGTTATTGAATCTGATGAACCAATGGAAGAGGGTCTAGATTCTTCAAGATCTTAAATAATCCCAATTATTTGATCAGATCTCTTTTAAAGGATACTTTATGTATTGTATTGTGAAGTATTCATAAGAACAGTTAGCCAGTTATTAACACTATTTAATTATATTAGCTTGGGTTCTTTATTGCTGACCATATCAAACTTCAATGTTCCTAGGCATTGAAAAGTTAATTGAGAGTCAGCAGGACTTCATTAGGTTTTCTCCTTAGGTGCCAGTTCCACTGTGGATGAATTCTTCTGAAGAATGTGTTGCCAGAGCATCAATGGCAAGATGAGTGACTTTCAGAAGTAGTCATTAACTCAGCAGATGCTTGGTGTGTAGGTCAGTGCTGGATTTCACACACAAGCGTGGGAGGAATACCCCTACCTCCCAAGATATAACATGCACTACTCTTACGGAACAACTATTAATCCTCTACATTGAAAAGTGGCAGGCAGTTGACACATCCAGATACAAAACAAAACAAAAAATCAGCAGGTGCTTACAATATGGTTTACCAAACAAATCTTTTAAATTATCTCCATCTTCATTGTATAAACTCCACAATTAAATGGCACCATAAATAAATCTTAAATATTTGATACAATATAATCATTAGAAACCAGTATTTCATCAAGGGAATTGGTCTCAAAGTGAGAATATCCATTGTTATTATCAGGTACTTCCTGTTAACAGATCTGCCTAGCGAGTCAATACAGGTTCAGTAAAATGACACTCCTGAAATATAAAAATACTGCTATAAGTTATTATTTAGGAAATAGATTTTATAAGTTAGTAAAAAATTTCATTGAACAATATATATTAAAACAAAAAAAGATTTCAACCTATATGCGCAAATGGCTACCCACAGTACAACCTTAAAAACAAATTATCTTTGTGTGATAAAACTTCCTTCTCAGAATTTTGAATTGCAATGCTGACACCTGTTACGATGTAATGGAAAATAATAAGAAGTTCTAATTGCATTACTGCAACATTTTAAGGTGAAAACAAGAACTATCTTAAGATTTGTGTAGCGTGACTAGATTAGTGGATAAAGATTAACAGCCACAAGAACAGCCGGCATTGCTAACTGAATTGCTTAAATATGCTCCAGGAAGTCATGGAGGTTAAGCAATTCGAGACATCACAGGTTCGTGGATGGGAGATTGTCTGGGAACCCCAGGGATCTAGGTACTGAGCCCATTGCCAAAGGAATCAAAGGAAATAACTTCTACAACTGACAATGGCTGATTAAGTTAAAGGAGGATTACTCCACTTCCAAAATACTTAAAGGAATTGTATGTCACAACTGCATGAAATCTTTCCCTATTTTCTCCCATTTGACTGGACTACATAATTCTGTTAATCACATACTGATATTTCACATGAGTTCAGAAGTAGAGCAATAGTAAATATGCTGTATTTAAAAAGTGATACTTTACAATCCCTCTTGTACCTTTTCCAAGGGGTCAGGAAAAAATTGTGTAATAGGGGGAAATTATAATTATAATAAAATTATTATTAATAAAAATCCACAACGTCTATCGGGTTTGAACCCACCAATAACCGCATATACCAGTCCGATACGCTAACCGTTACACCATCGCCAGACGTAAGATAACAATAAAAAGTCACAGATTTCAGAAAAATACATTTGTTGGTATAATAGCAAAACTCAATGGGAAATGAACACTTGTCTGGTTGTTGATTACCAGGAATTCCTAAATGAAACCTCTTGCTAAAATGCTTGTAACCCACAATCACAACATCAAGTTGTTTTTGATATCAAAAGTAATCACCTAACATAAGTCGGCTAGGACAATATGAAATAATGCTGACTTTACCTCATCAGTCAAGTATTTTAGGTCCAAGTGTCAACAAACTTACAAGTTCCGTAGCTAAGTTATTCTTCCTTTGTAGTCAGATCAAAAGAGAAAAACTATTAGGTAATTTCAAAATTGAAGCAGGGATAATTCTTACATTCAGGGATTGAGAAAAATCAGTGTAAAAGGCAGGAAAACATAAATTCCAGGAACTTAAAAAGTAGGCTTTTACTGTCGTGTATTGATATAGCTTTTTAATATTTGTATGTATTCTCCCTTTTAATTTTTATTTTTGTACTCCTTGTTTCTTAACTGCTACTGAACATATGTAGAAATACAGCATTATTATTATTATTATTGTTTGCTTATTTGCTTGTTAATATTTTCAAGGAATAAACTATTCCTTTAATTTACAGCCCTCAATGCAAATTGGTAGTCTTCCTCCTGATGCAGATGCTTCATATTTGCTATTTGATAGAGTTATGAACATCAGAGAAAGTTACACAGTACCTCTGGGGTGGAAAGGAACAATTATAGGTATGAAAGTTGTTATTTTTCTGGTAATTAAATCACTAATGTGCAATGTAAAATTGTTTTTCATGTGTAATAGGGATTCACAAAAGAGAAAAAGATGCAGATACTATGTATGATGTGGTTTTTGATAAACCATTTGCTGGAGGAATGTCCTTCAATTGTTCTGCAAATCGAGGTTATCGTGTCCCACGCTATGCTTTAATCAATTTATCTTATGGAGAGCGTTTAGCTCATGAGAAATGCTTGTTGCAAGAAAAATCTGACAAAAAGATTACTACCCAATCATCAGGTGAGATTCAAACAGAAACACATTAATTTAAAGTTAATTTTATTATAATTTAAATTTAAGATGTTTAGAATAACAACTACCTCTAAAATCTACAGTCATTGATTACGGTGTTCTCTGAAAAAAAATTTACTTTGATAAAAATAATGTTTTAGTAATGGTATATTAGTTTTTATTAGGGGCATCCTGATTTTAAACACAATAATTATTCAGCAGGGGAACCTACTGAATTAGTGGGAGTCACAATTACTTCCTGAAAGATAAGATTGTTAGAAAAAGACATCAGACAGTTAGTGAACTTCAGTTTTGTATAAGGCTGGACAGTTACGCAATCTTCATTTTTTGTGTGTACTCATTTGATGTTTTAATGTAATCAAAAGTTGCGAGCCTCTTTCATCTTTTCATTTTCCGTTATCTCTTTCTTTTTTAAGGGAAAGATGTCACAAACCGAGGCACATACACATTTTCCCCAGCTTGGAACAGTGCACTACAGCCACAACAGCAGCAGCAGCAACAGCAGCAAGAACCACAATTACATCAGCAACAACGAATGAAACCACAAATGCCATCTGTTCCAACTGGCCCCCCTGTTCAGAGGTCGCAGAACATTGTCTCTTCCCATCCTAATTCAGCATTTGCCAGTTGGCGTAGTCAGGGCCAAGGAATAATACCATCCACCAACCAGCAATCATTTGTGATGAGATCCACTCATACATCACAAACTCCCCCTCAGGTACGTATTGTTATTGTGATAATCATTTGCTACAAAATCTGACCATATCAGAACCTCTGACCATTCTGACCATACCATTTTATTTTATTTTTTTAATTTATTTATTTATTTAATTTTTTTTAAGGTTTATAATAGCTTTTTTTTTAAGTAAATTTGGAGAATAATGAAAATGTTTCAATACTTGATTAAATTATTGTTATTACCATATATACTTTAATATACCCTGCCCTTGAATATTACCCGCACCATAATTTTACGGAAAGGAATATCGGGGGGGGG